CCCTATATGGACTATTTTGGATTAGAGGATTATTTATAAACAATTGCTATGTTAGCCAATTGTTTATTAACAATATACAAATCCAACGTACTTTATATAGGACTCGTTGGATGCGGAATTATATTAACTTTCATTTATTAACGTCAGAATTACGATAACTTTATTTGTTTATAAAACATATCATTTTTTATTAACCTTAATAGTTAATTAATTAAGTAAAAATTTTGAGGTTGAAGAAAATTGATTTTTTTTTAGGCTCAGTCATATTATAATATTTTTATAAATTTTTATTTGAATATTCCCAAAATATTTCAATGGAATATTCTTACAATATTCTAAAGAAATATTTCAGTAGTAATCCTAAAAAATATCCAAATATTCGTGCACCATTTCAAAATTATTTCAAAAAGTCGATATTTTTATGCTCCTGGAATGTAAATGGAATATTATTTTAGAATATTCCCAATATTCTAATGGAATACTTTAGGAATGTAATTGGAATATCTCGTCTTATTCAGCAATTATCATTTTCATTTCATTTACGGTGGTTTTCTTTTATTTTTTTCATTTTTTTGTGGATTCTCCTAGGGTGCCCACAACCGGGTACTACTTTTTTCACTAAAAGTGATTACTTCACTAAATTTTTAATAAAATCATTCCAATTGAAGGAATCAATTTAGTTTTTTTAAACAGTTACCTAAGGCCTCTAGATTGCCACTGATACATACAAGTCTCATAATATGCATTTGGTTAAAAGTTATAAGCCATAAACAAATGGGTGCTCACAATCGGAACTATTCCCTTATAAATTTTGGCCAAGCCAATTAAGAAGAATAGATTTTTCTACTTTTTTTTGCTTCATCGAGGAATTGAATAAAAACGTACATTCACTTATTCAACAGAATTGGAACTATGAATTCTTTTCAATTATTCGCTTTTTACCGGGCAGAATTGATTTCGAGCTTTCTAATTCACAAAAGATGTTATAACTTGGGGGACATGTTGATGGATTTTGATCTTTCTTTTTTTGAACTGGGGTAACTTTTTTAACTAATTTAAATATGTGATTCTTTTATTTTTAAAGTTGTAAATAATATTAAAAAATTAATAATAATTTTTTAAAACATTTTATTTTTCCAAAAAAATTTATTTTTAACTAAATTTAAATTAAAATTTATACTTATCAATTAAATTTCTCACATAAAAATTACATAAAAATTCCTTTCAATACGCTTTGGAAATTTTGAAGCTGGCGATTGTTAAGGTTGTCCATATACCACGTGGACAATTTTTGATCACTTTGTGACCCTCCCCCCTCGTAGACAATCGTGGACTTTTGGATAACCCCCCCTCCCCCTTAAATGTCCACGTGGAATTCCTTTGGTCAAAAATAATAATTTTGCTATGTTATGAAAAATTGTAACTATATTCAGTCAGATTCTTACCTTAAAATGACAAATAAATAGATATTTAATAATGATTAGAAATATTTAATCATTTTTTAGAAGATATGATAATAAAGTTTACTCTTAATATCTTTGCTAGTATCAAGATATCTTTGGCAGGAATATCTTAAAGAAGACATAATCTTTTTGGTACCAAATTATAAAACGATAAATCTAATAATCTTCATACGAAATTTAAAAAAAAAATTTTTTGACCCCTTTTTTTCAAAATCAACCCTTATTTTTCGATTTTCACCCCTTCGGGAATTTTTTTTTTTTTTTTATTTTCATTGGAAAGCTGAGGTTTCTTCCCATGAGCTATGTAAATACGAAAGTGGGACAACAATAATTTTGTGAGAAATAGAATATTAAAGTAGGCGGTGCCGATAAGGGGTATACCTGGAGATCATCTTTGAGGATTTAGGTAGGCACCGCCTACTTTAATATTCTGTTTCTCACAAAATTATTGTTGTCCCATTTTCATATTTACATAGCTCATCGGAAAAAACCTCAGCTTTCCAATGAAAATAATAATAAAAAAAAAAAAATACCCGAAGGGGTGAAAATCGAAAAATAAGGGTTGATTTTAAAAAAAGGGGTCAAAAAATTTTTTTTTTAAATTTCGTATACATTTTTGAAAAGTACGTGAAAAATGCATTAAAATTCATTATTGATAAATTAAAATCCTTAAACTTTTGTCATAGTTATACGGATTTGAAAATGACAATGTTACCCTTAACGTCAAAACTTCAACCCCTCTACTTTCTACAAATATTTTTTTAATGAGTTTATATTTTAGGGATTTATTACTATCATATAGGAGAACAATTTACCAAAGTATGAAGCCAATCCCAGAACATTGACTTTTTGGGCTGGGGCGATTGAAAACGAATCTCTCATATACTAGAATTCGTAAATGGTCGGAGAGAATGTCAACTGGTAATACTAATATGTCGTTGAGGAGAAGGAACGCGGTAGTCGAGAACCAAAACAAATCAACCACACAAAAGCCTTGGGCTCCAGTGAATGTTTAGCTTGCAGGGGGAATCACTCAAAGAGCGGCCATTTAACAAAACGAAGTTCTCAAGCTCCATATTATTTACAAGAATTCTTCCCCTTGCGTTAACCACAGAATCTAGCGATGATCAATTACGGTAAAATTTAGAGGATACAATTTTAGAATTGAATTGATTTAATGTTTGTAAATTAGATCTAAGATAAAACAATCTAAATGAGATATAACTTTGACAAAAATATAGGAAAAATAAATGTCTAATTTTACAATTTTATAGATATAATTATTATACATGAGTAAAAGACCGCCTTTTACTCTGCCATACTTGCTGGATCTGATAACAGGAGAAACGACATCGCTGAATCCAAACGGAGGGAAGACCTTTAATTTTAAGTTGGTGGACCACGTCTCAGAAATACACTACCGTCGGAAATTTTTGGAACGGATGACGTGCGAGGAGAGGAAATTTAATGTTGACTTTAAAACAAGATATTTTAAGTTAGAAAAAAGTTTGAGACATGCTCGAACAATTTTTAACATATTTCAGGAACTACAAAACAATTTTTAAGTATTAAAATTTTTAACACAATCTTTAAGTTCTTAGCTTTAATTTGCTCTTTTAAAACTTAAAAAATGTTTTGTAGTTCCTAAAATATGTTAACAAATGTTCATGCATGTTTTTCTACAACCCAGCAGCGAGGCGGCGAAAAGTGATGATCGATGACTGAGTTGTAGAAAAACATACTCGGACCTTTTTGCTTCCTCGTGGAGAAAGCTTTGTAGTCCTTTCGTTTATAAAATTTTTAAAAATGGTGAAAACAAATTTCCCTCTATATAGAAACATGTTAAATGAGATCCTGATCAATTGTCCGGATGTGTGTGTATCGTTTTTGTGAACACGATATCTTTAACAGGTTTTAATGGATTCAATAAAATTTGGTAGGCTTATTTATCACATTAATCTCTCAAAAATGACGGGAGGATTTTTAAAAATACCCCCAAAAAAAATTTTATCGTCTTTTTTCCAAAAATTTTTTTTTAATTGAAAAAATTTTTAAACAGAAAAATTTAAGGTAATATATAAAATAATCGGCTTCTTTACGTCAAGAGGAATTGATTAGTATATATAAAGTATAGATTTCATTGAAATTTAAAGAATTAATGAAAGTTAAAAAATAAAAAATTCACATTTTAGCTAACAAATGTTGTGTTTATTAAAATTCAAGTTTATATACGAAATTATTTTATTCCCTGCATGAAAACGAATCGATTGGTATATGATTAAAATTTTAAAAATTAATAAAAATTAAAAATTCATATTTTAGCTAAAAAATTTTGTGTTTTTTTAAATTCAAGTTAATACATAAAATAATTGAATTCCTTGCATTGAAACGAATCGATTCGTATATATAAAGTATATGTTACACCCAATATGAATTACAATTTTCTTAATTTTTCAAAACATTTAATTTAATTTAATTTTTATTTTAAAAATTTAATTTTCAGTTTTTAACTCGAAATGTTTTAAATCAATTAATTGAATTAGAGAAATTCATAGCTTTCTCCACGAGGAAGCAAATTTTTTGCTTCACAAAATGAGGAAGCAAAATGTTTATGAAATAAACATAAAGGACCCCTTCCGTCCCCCTTCTTGTTTTAACATATTTCATTTTGTGTAGGATTAAACTACACTGGATTGGTTTTTATTTTTTACCATGAAATTAAAATGTTAACAGAATTCAAGTGTTTCTAAACTATTTAGAATAATAAAATTAAAAACGTAAACAAACAAAAATGACAATAGTTTGGATTAATTAAGAATTGAGGTACAATAAACAATCATTCTAATAATTTTTTAGTTCACACTTTTTTACAAGTTAATGTTAAAGTTAACAACTTTTAAGTTATTTATAAATTTATCTAATTAATTTAATCAATTATTGTCCACACAAATATTTTTATTATACTTTTAAATGAGAAAAGTGTAACATATTATACATAACTTAAAAAATTAAACTTCTTAATAAATAATGTTAGAAAAGAATTTTATTTTTACACTGTGATGCTGAATGGCAAGGAAAGAAGAAGGATTTTAACTTCTTAATGCTACATTGCTTATTTTTTAATATTATAATTTCTAAAATTCGTTAACAGTATATAGTCGACACTAAATAAATGAAACCTCTATGAACTTCAAAACAACAAAACTTCAAAATAAGAATCATATTTAAGAAAAGTTTTAGTTGACGAGTACAAAATAAAAAAATCGAATTAACAAGAGTGTTATGTCTTACACATTTTTGAATTTATAAAGAGCTTTTTAAGAATCCTAAAAAAAACTTTAATTAATTAAAAATTATGATTTATTCAGAGCTAATTATCAAAAGTTAGCCTTTAAGATTAACTTCTTAACGATAACATTCAATATAACATTGGTTTGTTTTAAAAGAATGCATGAATTTTAAATTATTGCCTTAAGCTCTAAATTATTTAACATAATTATTTTATAAAATGAGTGTCAGAAAATTAACAGAAAAAACTGCCATTATATATATATTTAGATTTAAATACTACAAAGACAAATTATTGAAAATTAATTCATGTGTTTAAAAATATTTTCGTAACTTTAACAGTGTCTAAAAATATTAATTCAAAATATAATGTTCTTTTAAAAGTTATTCCTTAAAAGCTGAATCGATCATTGAGGCTTCTTCCAGTTACACCAAGATTTCCTGATAGACTGTACATAACTTCACTAAAACTTCTATCATCAAGATTTAGAGATGATTCCAAATTGAGTATACCACGATTGCGGGATCTTGATCGGGATCTAGATCTTCTTTGTTGGCTTAAGGATTGATTTCGATCAAGCTGTAAACACATTAAATGTTGATTGCTAATACAGTAAATACTAAAGTAATTGAAAAAAATGTGAGCATCTAATGGATGTTACAACACGTAGTTTATCACGTAGCCAGAATTGGGATTTCTGATCAATTAATTAAAATAACTTTTTTGTAATTTCTAAAATTTTGTTCATTTATTTGTTTATAAGGTAAAAGACCTTATTGGTAAACTACTAAAAATTTGAAAATACTTAATAGTTTCTTGACAAATAAAGATAATAATTTGTTTAAGGGGTTACGCCTCCCTGAACGCAAACAATTTTTACGGTTTTAAATGATTTTTTTGACGAAACTGTTAATGATACAACTTTTTCATGCATTAATAAAATAAAGTATATATATTTAAGTTTTCAAAAAATCAAAGAACATTAAAAAAAAATTTAAATGGCGAAGATATATCGTTTTTTGTGTGGCCATGCTTTTTGCAATGGTGAGCATGATAACTCAAAAATATTTGACCGATTGACTTGAAAATTACAACACAACTTCTTTAATATATTCTTCATAGAGTGACATAGCCGTTTTTATTTAAAACATTTTTATGCAAATGGTAGCACTTTGAAAAATAAAATTTGTTTTCGGAATCGAAGTAGTCAGTTCAAAAAGTCCATAAAATTTTTTTAAATTAACCAATTAAAAAAACCCTACGTCACTCTGTGGAAAACATAATTAAAAAATTGAGTTTCAATTTGAAGTTAATCGGTCAAATATTTTTTTGAGTTATCATGCCCACTGTTAAAAAAAGCATGGTCTCAAAAGAATAAACATATCTCTGCCAATTAAATTTTTTTTTAATGTTCATTGATTTTTTGAAAACTTGAATACATGTATTTCATTAATTCATGAAAAAGTTGTATCATTAACAGTTTCGTAAAAAAAATCATTTAAAACCGTAAAAAGTGTTTCCATTCAGGGTGACGTACCCCTTAAACAAGTTAAAAAAACAAGTAAAACTTTCAGTAATAATATATGTTTTGTTTATTAATAACAATCAAATTGAAATATTGTGAACCAATATGATATTATGTAATTCATCATCAGGAAAATATTGAATATAAGTCCGGGAAACGCAATGGAAAAGAGAAGGAATTTTTCTTTTAAGTTGTTAGATATCCTGCGTAGAGTAACACAAAATGCTTCGAAAAATACAAAAAATTCTAGTTTTTGAAGCTTTAACTGTTTTTTTTTTTAAATTAAGACGTGATGGAAAAGTTTCATTTACAGATTAATAACATAGACCGACAAAATTTTGACATACTTCAAAACAAAGGACTAGACTATACTTTTTCAAAGCATTTTGACTTTTTGAATCCGAATCTGATCTCCGAATTGACCCAGCACATCAGGTTTTCGAGATATTTTAACCTGAAAGTACAAAAAGACAGTTTTGGACCATATTTGAAGGCATGTAACATCAAGAGATAACTTTCTTTCAAAAAAGTCGTAACAGCATTTGGAAGTATTATTCTTACACTTTAAACTACATTTTGAAACTTTAAATTTTAAAGAGTAAGAATAATACTTCCAGAAGCTGTAACGACTTTTCTGTAAAAAAAATCTCTTCATGCTACATGACCTAAAATATGAGCCGCTAGAAAGTAAACCAACACATAAACTTCTGAGGTCAGATTCGAATTCAGTACGTCAAAATGCTTCGGGAAAGTATAGTTTGGTTGTTAGTTCTGAATTACGCCAAAATTTAGTCGGACTGTGTAATCAATATTTTAATCTTGCGGCCTGAAAAAAAATTAATTTTGTCGAGTAGTATTATTTTATGCGTTTAGTTAAACATCAAGATACTTATAAATTCTTTTTTAAGAATAAACAAACACATTTTTAACTTACAATATTTAAATTTTGCATACTCTGCCGAAAAGCTGTTCTTCCTCTTGGTAATTGATGAAGGTTACCAATATTTTCCCTGTTTTGCCTTTGAGATAAATTTAAAGGTTGTTGTACAATTTCGTGAGAAAATGGAGAACCTAATGTACAAGTGAAATTCACGTTTGAATTGGCATTCATCTGGGAAGAACTGAAAAATCAGAAAAAATTCTATTTGAAAGAGTTAATAAAATAAAAAATTATTCCAATAAGTAAATGTAAAGAAAGATTTATTTGTATAAATATGTGAGAAGATGGCTTTAATAAAACAAGCACAATAAATGTAATAAATTAAACAATTTATTTGTCAGGTCACAATAAATCCGTTCTCTAAGACACCCGAGTACAAACTGACTCATCTTCCTTATATATAGGTGCCATTTCATGAGTTTTTTTATCACTTTTCGGAATAACCTTTCCAAATTAAATAATACATTTTTTTATAATATTTACTAATATAAAGGTCCAAAATAATCACTTTATGTAAAAACAATTATTTATTTATAAAATACAACAATAAATAATGAAAAAAATTCACATTTTTCTGCTCCACAAAATAAATTGGTTTAAAGATCAAAATTTTCCTTATTTTACAAGCTTCAATACCCCACAAGAAGAAGGAGGTGATTCGAAATAGTCAACTCACAATTTATTAAGCAATGTTTTTTTTGTATTATATTTATTCTGAAACGTCTGCTATTGCTGCGTGACGTTCGGAAGTTGTCGCTCTCGTTATTGATCAGAAGGTCATTATACTAGCGTAGTAGGAAACATGTTGTGTGAAAAGTAAGGTTATGTTGTCAGTGAACGAAACGTAAACATTTATGGTTATCACATTGGATGGTTTTTAATTAACTACATTGCAGTAAAAAATCATAAAAAATATTTTTGAAGGGTGAAAAACCTCGCTTTTCACATAACATGTTTTTTACTACGCTAGTGTAATCAGCTCACAGAGGAATAGTAAGGAGACCGATCTTGCTATAGTAGCGCTTCTGAAAATGTCAGAAAAACATGCACGATAAGTGCCAGTTTCACTGCATTCTACTCAACCACCAAAGTAGTTGAGCATGCGCATTAGCCATGTGCTGTCTCTTTCTCTCGCTAATACCAGGTCATGGCTGGATATACATGGCGCAAAGCTAGTATAAATGCCAACGTCAATCTTTACTACTACTACTCTTTCTCTCGCAAAAAGTGTGCGAGTGAGATCTGGCTGACGTATATTTCTCAAGTCTTCCATGCGTGTTGTGATGAAGGGGTTATGTGTTATTATTGTTATTATTTTAATAATTATTATTGTTTATTTTAAAATGTCGTACTGTGTGTCAGGATGTAAGAAAAATCTTTTTCATGACATACATAATAAATAATATGTTTGTAATTACTATGGCTCCATTATTCTTTTAATAATTACTTCAATTTATTGACACTTTAAATATTCCAATAGCATACATTATTAAATACTTGCACATGATTTTGGAGATACAATATCGCAATGGTAAATAAAATTTCTAAAATAAACACTGAACACTAAGATTTTTTGTGACATATATGTATATCGCATAACCACACTTTTCATCTGTCAAAATTGAGGTCCAATGCGCATGCTCAACTACTTTGGCCAGTAGAGTACAATGCACTGAACCTGGCACTTGTCGTACATGTTTTTCTGACATTTTCAAACGCAGAGATCGGTCTCCTTACTATTCCTCCATGGAGCACTCACTGCTTGTTAAGCATTGCATGAGAATCTTTCTTTCTTTTGGTTAAATGGCCTCTTGTCCAAGTCGGACAAATAGCCAATACATTTCACGTAAGGTTGATACATCAGTGTAATTCTGTGTGATATTTCATGTATATATGTAATGTAGTGATCCAGATAAATATTCCAGTAGATCTAAATAGGACCAATCATGTAGTAGCATGGTCCAGCCTTGACACATTAAAGTCAAATGCACATAACTGTCGTGACAGACGAAGGAACAAGATTGCGCGGGAAATTTAAATAGAAATATTCATATATGCAGAACACGGTTCTCATACATTGAGAGCCGGAGTAAGCGCAAGTATAATTTATAATTGTTATTCAAAGTTAACTAAAATCCAACAAAATCCATATAATTATAAGGTTTTTCTTTCTTTCTTTGTTTATATGTACAAAATAAATATAAATGTGTAAATGATACCTTTAAATTAGTTATTAATCATATCTTCACTCAATTGGCATGCAAATAAATAATTCCATTGAAAAGGATGCGCATTCTCATTCAGCATAAAGCTGTTTGAACCGAAATCCCTTTTCATTATAAGTTAACTGTATAAATAACACTTAAAGACTGTAGTAGTATTTCCATACAGTCGCTCATAAAAAGAAGAGGAGAAAAGAGAAAAAAAAATAAACAAATAAAAGTTCAAATAAAAATAGAAAAAAAAAAATAAAAAAAAACAGAATTCATTACTCCATCATTCTCCTACCCATTTTACCCGAAGTTCAACGATCCCCCAATCAACACCCAATCATCCTCTTTCCTTCTTTTTCCTTTTAATGTTATTTGTTCATGTCGACCATTACTGAAATTATTACAGGACGATGCCACCACCGTCAAAGAATTTCCCGACACAACGAACCGATCCAGGATCCGGATCAAAAATTAATGGCGTGAGATCTGGCATGTCAGGATCAAAATTTATCATTTTATCGGTTAGATACGAATAAAGAGATGGTCTGAAAGCAGAGAGGACAGGACAGTCTCTAAGATAGTGTAGGATACTCTTTTGTCCAGTTCCACATACACATGTAGCATCAATTTGCCAGCCCAATTTCGCAAAGTGTTCACTTGTACATACGTGTCCACATCTAAGTCTTGTAAAAAGGTTCAAGTGCCTACGGATTGCGTGGTAGTCTTTGAACCATGGACGGGGGGTTTTTTTTCCTATCATCCTAAAATATAAATTACCAGAAGCAAGTTCAGGACAGGGAGGCCAAGTATCACGGTGCCAGGATCTAAAGTCATCACGTATCGAGTCAAGGAGATCCTTGCTTGGAACTCCTTGAAACTTACCAAAATCAAACCCCAGGGCATTTTTAGCGATTCTGTCCGCAATCTCATTACCGTTAATGCCGACATGGCTTGGAATCCAGAGAAAACTAATTTCTGAGCCTTTATTTATAATTTTAATTGTGTATTTAATAATTTCGTGAATTAATTGGTGCAAGTCTTTAGAATTAAATCTATTATTGACTGAGGCCAAGACGCTTTTCGAGTCCGATACTGTAAATTAGGAATCAAGGGGTTCAACTTCCATGAGTAATTTCTTAGAATAAATCTTTCAGAGAGCATAGCTCTTCTAAGAGAAAGAGGGGGTTCATCAACTTCAGCCAGCAAAAAGTTCCGAGGGGTAGTACTCATACAACCAAGGATAACACGGATTGCAGAATTTTGAACACGATCAAGGATTTTTAAATGTGAAGAACAAGCAAACATGAAGAGAGGGCAACCCCATTCAAGGTGAGCCCTGGTAAGACCTTTATAAACCATTAACATGGAAGTTGAGCTTGCACCCCAAGAGATTCTTGCGATCGCCTTAAGGATATTCACAGACTTTTGGGCTTTTTGAGCTATAAGTTTAATATGTTTTTGCCATGTAAGCTTACGGTCAAGTAAAATACCCAAATAAAGAAGGTTATCTTGCACAGGGACTGAAAATTCATCCAACATTAAATTAATCCTGTCAAATTTTTCCCTTGAACGGGAGAATACACATATCTGAGTTTTGGGAAGTGAGAGCGACATACCCAAGTCCAGCAGCCAAGGTGTGAGAGATTGTACAGTTTGTTTCAAGAGTTCTAGCGCATTGACGATGTTTTTGTACCTGACTTATACTAAGATATCGTCAGCATACATATTGAATTTAACACCTCTCGGCAGTATTGAAGCAATTCCAGAAAGAGCAAGGTTAAATAGGAGAGGGGAGAGTACTCCACCTTGAGGAACGCCGACTCCTGATACTCTGAATCCCTCCTCTAAGGATCCAAAGTATAGATGTTTTTTTGAGGTTAAAAAGGCAACAAAGTTCAATATTCTATCCGGCACACCAAGTTCAACAAGTTTCTCATACAAGGCTTCAGGGAGTAGGTTGTTGAACGCTCCCTTAATATCCAGAGCCATGGCAAGTGTACCCTCGCCACTCAGGAAACCATGCGAAATATCAGTTACTACTGTAGCAACACAGTCAAGACACGATCTTCCTCGCCTGAACCCATTGCATGAGAATAAATCCGAAATTACATAAATCTCCGATTATGACGCCTCTAGCGGTAAAGCAGTTTACTTAGAAGTTTTAAAAATATGGCTGTGCCTAGTGACAGCTGTTATCATATAGTAAATAGTGTAAAGTGATATATAATAATTTTAGAAAAAGTGTAAAGAAAAAAAAGTTACACACAAAAATTTTAAATAAAACTTAAATTTTTTGAAAATTTTTTTTTTTGAAAATATATTTGAAAATTGGTAAGTTTTTGCTTATTTATATACGAATGTATAATTTAGATTTTTAAAATATTTGTTTTCAATTATGTTTCATAATGAAATAATAAAGGAATTGCAATAATTTGATGTAAGTTATATAAAAATAATAAAAATATAAATAATTTTTTTTTCATTGTAGCCGTATATATTTCAAACGAAATTTCTTAATTTTTTTTTTAGGTTATATTTACATGTAAACAAACAAAATATAATGACAAGTTCAGCAAGTATTTTGTTAACATTCAAATACATACAATATAATTTGTATCAAGTAAAGTTGCCTGTGTTAATGCTGATTCATTGATCAATTTAGCAGCCTCATTTTTCACTTTTTTATTTATAATTACACAAAATTAACTCGTTTCAAACATATTTAAAAAAAACGCTAACTGACAGTTATACACAAACACTTATATAACAATGTACCACGTGACCTATAATTCCTCGCTTTTCCGCTAGGGTTGTTAGTATCGGGGATATGTAAATGCTTCTATTAAATCTGGAAAGGCTGAGGAAGAATTTTCAAAAACGGCCTATAGAGTGAGTGCTCCTTATAATACTTCATGAATAAAATACAAAAAAAACAAACATTGTTTAATAAATTGTTATTTAACTATTT